ACAGGGTTTTCACAAGCTCCCTTTGTTACTCTGCCCTTTACAACGAGTGTTACGCACAAAGCTACACTCAACCATGGTTTTTCACTCGCTCTAGTTACTCCGCCCTCTTTCTACACTCAGTAGAGATGTTTACAATGAAATACAAAGATTTCTATCTCAGACTTGAATTCTATCGTATATAGCTCGATATTTCACTTGATGTTTTATTAAAATTGCTTGCTCTTGTTCATCGTTCTTGTCTTCAAGTCTGCTTGGGCAATTTATATCCAATGAAAGCTATTTGCCCGTTGATCAACTTTCGATCCCGATCGTCCATTTCAAATGTAGTTGATTAAATAATGTTATCAACTTGATCTGCAACTTGATGCGAAACTTGATCTGCAACTCTAGATATTAGCCTTTCCGCCTTTGTCAGATAATTTAAATAATCCAATCTTTGCTTGTATGTAGATCTGACATAAATTCCATTGAAAAAATGTAGCCTCCAAATTTGAATAGCTTCTTCGTGTGAATTCTTGACTTCTGTAGCTGTGTACTTGATCTGATAAACCAAGTTGATCAAAATAATTTATCTGCTTATTCTTGCTTGAGTATAAAAAAAAAAAATATCGTCGTGAATCAGCCTTCTCCGAGTGTCTCCGGCTCCATTGTAAAAACATTGTTGTACATAGATTCATCTCATCACGGAAAATTTCTTCTTATCTGGTGCACAATCCTTCGTGGTTCTTCGTCACGGTTCAGCTTAGATATCCAAAAAGACTGTTCAAATTCGAACTAAGTTGGTAACACCTTTACTATACATTGTGTTCACACATGTATTTGACAGCTTCGTAGACCAAAAATGCTTGCAACAAAATTCAAACATAAGATCATTTGGGCAACTTATCAACAAGTCTTCACCTTTGGTGTAAGATGTATTTCCAAATGTATATAGCTCTTGCATGCTTCGTCATTTGGGCAACTTATCAACAAGTCTTCACCTTTGGTGTAAGATGTATTTCCAAATGTATATAGCTCTTGCTTCGTCAACCATCTTCTACTTAGTCAATAACTTCTTCTGCTTTGTTATCAACTCACCTCGTCACAAGCTTGGTACCTCGTCAACAAGCTACCTCGTCACAAGCTAAAAAATATTTTCTCTTGATGAGATTCAAACATATGATCACTTAGCTTACTCTTCCACCAAATCTCCTTCCAACTCTGCTAGCTTATCCTTTGATGACTTGTATGCTCCAAAATAGGGTTAAGCTATAATACCGTTTAATCATAAAGTTGGCAACTTTAGCAATTCACGTAACTTTCATTGCATGGATGCACCATGCTCTTATTGACCCAGACTGACTCAAATTGAAATAAAATGGGGAATACTAATATTTTCAAAATACATTTGGCTCATCAAAACTTTACAATATATTCCTAACAGAATTGATGAAACGGTTTGGATTGATTATGTTTTCTGATGTTATCCTTGTTTGAATTCGAGCAAATAATTGTTGAATTAATAGCCAATGTGTAGATGTACGCATCCGGTGCTGAAATTTTGGAGATTTTATGTATTAGTGTTTAGGAGTTTTATAAATTGGGAAAATGTGCTCGTTCTCTAGTAATTCAGTTATAGGAATCAATTGCTATCCTAATTCATTTGTATGGAATATATATTTTTGTGTAGATATAAGCAATTTTGCCATCTTGAAAAAAAAGAAACATAATATCACTGGTTGTATTTACACATTATTGAAAATCTCTTTGTAGACGACATTGGTAGTAGTAACACAATCTTGTCCATCCTTGTCTAGAGCTAACACATTCAGGCCATCAGGGTGGGTGAGGTTGGGAAAAAGCCACGTACAATTGACCGTAATTAATGACTGGTTTTTTTCCTCAATAACTCAACATGAGTTACGTTAGTGTTTGGCCCTAGCTTTTGTTGATAGTCATGGCATTTGCAAGCATCAACGGGACTTGTTTACGCTGGGCAATCTCGTATCAGAAGGAGTGAGAGACATTCAGGGGATAAGAACTTTGGTTCCTTCATGTGTCTCATTAACTATTCTTGCTTCGACAATGTGATCTGTCAATTTTGTGACGATGAGCTGCATACCATTACAAAGACCAAGAAAGTGGTCTATGTTCCGCAATAACATAACAAGTGCACTGATCTTTAATGTCAATGAATGATTAGGAAGACCAGACAATCTCAAACTATTTAAGAATTCAGGAGTGTGTACTTTAGATAAATTTTCACCGTCTGATTTTGCGTCACAACTTAAATATGTTTATCCTTCTGCAGTATTCATGTCGCACATGTACTGATTAATTTGATCAATGACATCTAAAGTCGGCGAGAGGATCGCTCGGCCTTCCAGCTACGACTCATCAAGCATGCTATATCTCGAGCTTGGGAAGGTTCTTTCCACTATAGTTGCTATGGGATCGTGTCCACACTTCAACAAAAACTATGCAAGAATATCGATCTCAAATGAATTGTCATTTACAACCCTTGCAATCTCATCTCCGATGTGTGCAATCCATTTTGAAAACCAATCAACTGTCAGTCTATCTTCCTCCAAAGCGAAGCTCCAAAGTCTCAAGTTCTTGGTGAGCTTTAATACCTTGCAATTTGTCCAGAGGTACGAAGAATTTATAGTGGACCTAACAACTACGGTCTCGTTACTTTCAGAATAACAGGTAAGATCTGTCTAAAATCGTCGCCCAAAACTATTGTCTTCCCACCAAATGTCTTTTCAGCACTACCCGGTATGGCAAACCTCAATAGATCCCTCATAGTTTTGTCTAAAACCTCAAAACAGTGTTTGGGCGTCATCCGTGCTTCATCTTATTTTATCAATTTGCTCCTTATATAAGCTCAGCAAGATCACTGCCTTGCAATATATTACACGTGAAATCTTCATTCAAAGAGAGTGGTATAGCAAATCTAGAATTAGCATTTCTGGAAAGTCCCTCAAGCTCTTCCCCCCACAAAGATAACAACTTCTCTAACTCCACCAGAGCGAATTGTTTATTATCTGAATTCGATAACATCAATTGGTGCATATAAATTAAAAATATATATATGCATATGCTTAAACAAGACCAACTATCCAAAAGTCAATAGTATTCCAAAAAGGGCTCATAGGTGAAAACAATCTAACTAATAGGAAAGGGAACTAAGGCTAAAAGATGGGCTCCAACTAGTGCGCTCTCGAACCGACTAAATCGCACCTGAAAACATTTTAAATAACCGTTAGCGATTATGCTAAGCAATCTTACTCGCACGCTCTCGACCGACTAAATCGCACCTGAAAACATTTTAAATAACCGTTAGCGATTATGCTAAGCAACCCAACTCCAACGCGTAAAGATACGTAAATATACATTTGATACTTCAAATAGTTTTGAGACTTGGGAATACATAAGTATATCTCTAAACAACTCTAATTTCATAAAATCACAAGGAGTAATTCAAGACTCGACCATTCAAGGAATATACTCATCGGCCACTCAATACACAAGGATATCAATAGAGATCAACTCGACAAGGCAATGATAACGAAGCAAGGATAATAAGCAAGATAGGATATTCACACTTATCAACAAGGTAGTTCTGTTATATAAATCAATCACCGACAACGTTCCAAATCCTCAAAGGACATAGCCAAACCAAGTCATTCACTGCGGAGTCATCACAATGACTCGTTACCAATGTGGATCAGTGTGGTGGGCTCTAGTGCAGTCAGTTAGATTAGATTTCATCGGGGTTACAAACCCGATTCATAGATTCCGCGGGGTCAGAAGAGACTCGATAGGGATGTCGCGAGGTCCCTATTGGGTTCTCCAGTCCCCAATAAGTAGAAATAGTCCCGACAACCTGGAATTGTTCCCTCAGGATGTCCGTCAAACCATCATCCCGAATCAATAAGAATTACCACAATGTCCACTTGTACCAGCTCAATCATCACATCAAGGTTCCACACACACAAGGAATCATATGAGGCAAAGCAAAGGAATAGATTCCACAATACTCGTTATTGAAATTATTCAATAACTAATCTACGTGAATTACTAATTCTATGTCAGTATGTCACTATGTGAATTACTAATTCTATGTGAATAAGTGAATTACTAATCTGTTAGATTGTTAGTAAATAGTAATCTGTAATTTTTGTTTACTGTATATTTTGCTTAATTACTAATTACATAATCCGTTAGTACTTAACTAATTGTCTAATTACTAATTGCTAATTTGATGTAAGATGTAAGAATGTAAATGTAGTTCTAGACTTCCAGTAAGAATGTAAGATGCTTATGTTGATTTACTTATGTTATTTGTTATTTGTTGATAATTGATTACTTGATTAGTAATTAGTCCAATAAGATGCTTATGCTGATGTGATTACTTAATTATGTTGGTTCAGTTATGGAAAAATTCTTAAAAAGAAAATCAACTTGTGGGGATTCATCTAGTCAAGGTAGTCGCGAAGTGGCAAGTAGGCCGTGTATTGGAGTTAACATAGATGAACTTGAAGTTGATCCGGCTAAAAGGAAAAGCATTTATGAATATCATATCAATGATAGAGATATTGTGCGACGAAGATATCTACAAATAGGTCCTTGTCAACCAAAAAATCATGTTTTTCCTACTAGAGTGATTACGGTGTCAATAGGAGGTTTAATCCTAAATGGTTTAAAGATCATAGTAATTGGTTGGAGTATAGTGTATCAGAAGATGCATCATATTGTTTATGTTGTTATCTATTCAAAGATGAAAGCATCGGACAACAAGCAGGAGGGGAGTCATTTGTTACAAAAGGATTCAACAATTGGGAAAAAGGGCCGGAAAGGTTGCGTGCACATGTTGGTAGTCATAATAGTGTTCACGCAAGGAACGTACAAGATTGTCGAGACTTAATGAATCAAGAGCAACACATACAAGTTTGTGTATAAAAACAGTCGGAGTAATGGAAATAAGATTATCGTGTTCGATTGACTTCATCAGTTGAATGTATCCGGTTCTTTTAAGGCAAGGACTTGCTTTTCGTGGACATGATGAAAGCTATGACTCACTTAATCGAGGAAACTTCCTTGAGGCTTTAAGGTTACTTGCCAATAATAATGACAAAATTGCCAAAGTAATGTTGCAAAATGCACCTGAAAATCACCAAATGACTGCCCCTTGCATTAAAAAAGATATAGCTAATGCAATTGCAAGTGAGGTAACCCAAGTAATAATTAATGATCTTGGTGAAGAATTATTTGGAATAATAGTTGATGAGTCGAGAGATATATCAGTTAAAGAGCAGATGATTGTGTTTATTCGGTATGTGCATTCAAGTTGGCATATTGTTGAGCGTCTTCTTGGCATTACTCATGTTTGTGACACTACTTCTATGTCTCTTAAAGTAGCCATTGAAAATCTTCTAACAAGGCATGGATTAAGCATTTCAAGAATAAGAGGTCAAGGCTATGATGGAGCAAGTAATAGGCGAGGTGAGTTTAATGGTCTTAAGACTTTGATTATGAATGAGAATCCAAGTGCATTTTATGTTCATTGTTTCGCTCATCAATTACAACTTGCACTTGTGGGTGTTGCAAAGGAAAATGAAGAAGTTGGAAATTTCTTTTTCACTGTCTCGCAATTGTGCAATATTGTTTGTGCTTCATTTAAGCGCATGGATAGCTTACGAGACAAACAATTAAAGATGTTGATTGATTCAATTTCTGAGGATACAATTGAAACGGGAACTGGTTTGAATCAAGAAGTAGTTTTAAAATGTCCTGGTGATACACGTTGAGGATCTCATTACGGTGCACTTTTGAGCATTGTCGCATTATTTTCTCCCGTGATTGATGTTCTTGATGAAATAAGGCAGGATCCAAAACAAAGAACAGAAGCATTTAGAGTATTGAAGAATATCTTATGTTTTGATTTTGTGTTCTTGTTGCACTTAATGAGGGGTGTTTTAGGAATTACTAATGAATTGTCACATGCACTACAAAAGAAAGATCAAAACATTGTGAATGCCATGAGACTAGTTGATGTCTCAAAAAAAAAGATTGCAAATGATGAGAAATGATGGTTGGGAAGCTCTTTTACAAGAAGTTTCACTCTTTTGCAACAAGCATTCAATTCCCATACCTAATTTGGATGAAATTTATGTAGTTCCAGGAAGACCTCGTCGTAAAGCTGAAGAAAGGACTCATCTTCATAGGTACCGTGTTAAAAGGTTTTATGTGGTTTTAGATCTACAACTTTAGGAGCTAAACAACCGTTTCAATGAGAAGAATACAGAGTTGCTCTTATGTGTGACATGTTTTGATCCAAAGAATTCATTTGTTAAGTTTGATAAGGATAAATTAGTTCGATTGACACAGTTCTATCCAAATGATTTTTCTGATATTGAACTTCAAGTACTAGATAACCAACTACAGACTTATTTTGTTGATGTAACTTATGATCCCGCTTTCTCTAAATTGGATGGTATTGATGAATTAGCTCAAAAAATGGTGGAAACGGGAAGACATTTGGATTATACGTTGGTGTATTTGCTTCTAAAGTTGTCTTTGGTCCTACCGGTTGCAACTGCTAGTGTGGAAAGAGCATTTTCTGCTATGAAGTTAATCAAGACATCTTTTCGCAACCGGATGGGCGATGATTTACTAAATGATTGCTTAGTGCCATATGTTGAAAAAGATATTTTTAATCAAGTTTCAAATGAAGCAGTTCTACAACGATTTCAACATATGAGAGAGCGTAGAGGAATATTATCCCGTAGTTCATCATAAATATTGTAATGTAATATATGATGTATTTAATATTTTAACAATCTTATTTGTATTTGAACATTTTTGAATGTTATTTTCCTTTTGCTTCTTCGCCCCCACTGAAGAAAAATCCTGGCTCCGCCACTGCTCCAACCTTAGGCTTACTCTTGCAAGTCCCCTTCAAGATGATCTTCATCATAAATCCCCAAACCCAACACACAAAAAAAGAAAGAGACTTAGATGATGAAGATGGAAACCATAAGTAAAGACTACTAACACCTATTTCTTACCCTTCCTATGCTTGGTGATGGTGAAAGGTAGAGTCTTGCTTAGTCTTCTTGGTTAGCAAGGTGAAGAACACTTTTGGTAGAGTGGGAGAGGGAAAGTGGCGTGTGATAGAGTGTAGGGTGAGCTGAAATGTTTGAGTGTGATTCTATCTAAGTGGTAGGAATTCATGAATAAGTGTTTTAGGGTGTAGGAATAGGTATAGGCCATAAATTAGAAGGGCTAAGGTACGGGCCTAATAATTCTTTATCAATTGGGCTAGGAACAATATTCATATTCAAACTTGTACCAAAGTCCAACAAGATATTAAATAGGATTCAACCCAATGATTCCAACTAAAAGCTAAGGGATTGGGCCAAAGTGGTTCCCTTAACAAGGTTCCAAGGCAAAAGTTAATAAAGAGTTCAAGGTATAAATAAGAGGATTAAATCCATCCTTAGGAATTATTTGGGAATTAAGTTTGGATTTTCCGGAATAAAATTCGGGGTGTCACATTTTCCCTCTGAGAACTAGGGCTCAAATATCAACTTCGGGCTTCCACCGGCGAATAACAGAAGTTCAGAACGGCAACAGCCAACAACAGCGTCTTTGCGAGACAGAGGCTTCCACCAGAGTCCAGACTAGAGACCACAATGGCATCGAAAACTCGAAAGGAACTATGGGAGGGATGAAGTGTATACACAGTTGCAAACTATAGAGTAGAGAGAAGTCTCGAAGTGAGAAATCGAGAACTCAGATAGGATTAGAGACGAAGAGAGGAGAACTCAGAGTTTTAGAGAGAAGGAGAGGAATGAGAGGTCAGAGGAGAAAGGAGCGACTGCGCGAAGAGATGCAAATGAGAAACCCTAGCGTTCTAACAATTTGAAGGATGGTATTAATCACTTGTATCACCGTTCTTGGTGATTTCTTCCCAATCGTTCTGTTGTAAGAGACATCTTTTGCAACTTTTACCATTTTTGTCTCTGTAACTATAATGGAAGGAAACAAATTGAAACAAAGATTCATAGTAAATCTCTGGCAAAAAGAAACAACAAAACCTAGGGCAATACTTATTACGAATTTTATGGATTTGTGGAAAAAGTAAAAAGAGGAAGGGCAAACTAAGAATGTGAACTTCTATGGACTGCGGCTTGGAAGGCCAAGTTCAATATTTGTCTGTCATTAAACCGTGGCGCTGGCTGTTACGCAACGAAGTAAAGAAGGGTAGTTGTCCCTTCGCTACTAGCTATAGCTTTTGGCGTAATGGTAAAAGCTTGATCCCAAAAAAAGTGAATTAAAAAAAATAAGCACAAAGTATTTTTTTTTCTATTAGTCTAACAACATTGGCTAACTACTTTCTCAACCTACTGAAGCACAGAGAGTCAATAGCATCTTAGGCTCGAACTCACAACCTCCCATGTGGAGTTCAACTTGGTACTATTGGACCACAAGGAACTTCATATATGTTCATTCCAACTCAATTATTACATCATTATAGATTACCTAAATGAGTAAATGTTCAACATGAAGGTCAATTTAATTGAGCATGCTCCTAGTGAGCAAATCACTTTGTACCCCCTAGAAATATGAAATAACAATTGCCCTAACTTATTACTATTATTATTTACTATTATAATTTTACAACTCACTTATCATGTAAAACCTATAGGTATCTTGAGCATCAAGGCACCTGACTTATTATTAATACCATTGGTTCAATTACAAACGAACATTGTGGGGAAGTCACTTGTACAGATTGTCAATTTGCTCTTTGTATAGATCTGTTACTTTGTTTCTCCTAACTTTCATTGTTGGAGTTAACAAACCGTTATCAATCTGCACCAGCCAGAAAGCAAAAAATGTCCAAGCTATTGTCATTTCTTTGAATTGGGAAATGAATGGCTGAGCTAGCTTATTTAGCAAAATGATTACCGTAAAAGGCTCGTCAATGACAAGGAGAGGTCCAATTTGAAACGCAGAACCTGTTGTCCTGCATCACGGAAAGTTTGGAGGAGAAAATCAGGAGGCCGGGGAAAAGAGCTTTTTCCCAAAAATAATTTGGTAAAGAAAAGAAGCTACAATAATCGCCTTACCATTTTCTAAGTTCTTCATGTAATAGGTTAGCAGTTTTCTCCTTGCTAACTTCTGTGGCATCAAAATCAACCACAGACAACTTTTTTGCAGCTAAAAGAACCTCTTCTTTATGTGGTACAACAATAGCTCCAAGACGTCGTTTATCCTACACGATGAAGATCTCATGTTATACGATGCAATAGAAAAGGTATATATGTATTCACACAAACATGTCAAAACTAGTAGAATTTTTTTTTTTTTTTTAAAGTCCAAAAAAAGCTATTACGGACCTGACCAAAGACAACAATCTGTTTAATCAAATTGCTACCCATTGCAGCTTCTTCAATCTCAGATGGTTCAACATTTTCACCTATATATCCTTTGCACGCATATATCAATCGCTACATAAACTTCATGGAAATGTTTTACACCTAGAATGCTGATAGCTAAGGCCTTATTATCAAGTAAAAGAAGTTATTAGCTAATAGATACCTGAAAAAAAAGAGGGTTAAGAAGATTAAATTCTCCCTTTATAAAGTGCAATTGTGTATTGTTGGAGTTTGGTGGACTGTAAATGAAAAATGGTGGGTTTCTATCTAAGATAACAACTCAAGAATCACTGTACACAGAGTAAGAGTTTAACAATCACCTGATGAAAGCACTATAGTATCCTTGGCACGACCTTCAAGAATAATAGCGCCAGAAGAATTGCGAGATCGCCCTACAGAATGATGAGGAACAATCCAACCAATATCACCGGTATTTAGCCATCCATTCTCATCAATAGCTTGCTTTGTAGCCTTTGGGTTCTGAACAAAAAAGAAATGTTCATACTCAATGAACAAACAGCAAGATTCACATTCCAAGATAGAAGCGGATGTTCAGTTCTATAATTATAAGCAACTAGACAAGGCAGCAAGGAGACATGAACATATGTTTTTAATGCTGCTTTGTAAAACAATAATGATAAAGCCAAAGACCTAGGATAAAAATTAGGCTGAACTAAAACGGATTGTAATTCAATGACCAAAATATGCATGTGATGTGTATGTGGGTGTGTGTACTACAAACACCCACATGATATTTTATCAAACAACAAAGAAAAGCCTGCTTGCAGAAAAATGGAACTGACAAAAAAAAACTTTGAAAATCGTTGGAGTACTAACCTTGTAGTAGCCCTTCATCACCTGTGGTCCCTTGGCTTTGATAATACCTTTTGAACCAGGGGGAAGGACCTCATCAGTTTCAGCATCTACAACTTTTATTTCTGTGTAGCGAATGGGATGCCCAGGTGAGCCAAGGACCTGCAAACATTAAATCTGTAACTGTCATGATTATTGGCGAAGTAACTATGAAAAGATAATTCTGTCATTTGCACTGCTAATCAGTGCAAATCGACAAACAACTTCAGCTCTGAAAGTTTCAATGCACAGTGGATAAAGCACTTACAATACAGTTTGAATGCCGACAAGCAACACAAGGAGATGACTCTGTTAAACCGTATCCATCTAGTACTGTTATGTCAATTGCCTGTAAGATATCACATTTTGAATCAGAGCTAGCATCAATCCATGCCCTTGGCAATAGCCACAAAGATAAAGAACCAAACCTCAAAGAACTTGTCAACATGTGGAGAAAGACTACCACCTCCACTTATTCCACCCTGCAAAAAACAAAAGTTATTAACAAGTTAACATCTATACGTAATTAGCTTGTACGATACAACTCATTGTTTGTAGGAGAGTCTATTGATCAAGTGATCCAGATAAACAGTTAGGTTGTACAAGTTCTTGCATAGTGGGTCTCAATATTTCAATATAATTTTCAATCAGAGAACACTCAAAGGTAAAATTTTATGAGTTCCCACAATCAGAGAACACTCAAAGTAAAGAAAGGAAGTAACATTAACTTCAATTTCTGCACACTGAATAGCAATACCATGGCTTAATTATGTATGCTTATACCATACCTTAGAAATACCAATGTTGGAGTGAATTTTACTATAGACTAATTTCCTTGCCAACAAATGCAATGGACACAATAGAGCAGCAATTGCTCTGGCCCATAACCAGTCCAAAACTGAAACAAGGTAAGAAGGCTGTTTCTGATCTTTTGTTAAGCATTTCCCCTGAAACACAGACACAATAAAAATAGACGACAATTCAAGAAATTAGTTAAGGTGCTGTTATTGATTTAAGAGTTAATGCCATATGGGATCCTCCGAGTATAGTGGTTTTGGCACGTTTAGTCCTAAACTTTCAAATTGACCACCTGTGGTCCTTCGACTTTCAAATTGTTACCATCCGTGGTCCATGTTAACCACCCATGGTCCTTCAACTTTCAAAATTTAACCAGCCACGGTCCTCCTGGAAGGACCATGGGTAGTTAAAATTTGATAGTTGAAGGACCATGGGTGCTTAACTCGGACCACGGGTGGTCAATTTGAAAGTTTAGGACTAAAGATGACAAAACCACTATACTCGAAGAACCCCAGATGGTACTAAAACTATGGAGTATCTGTAATTTTGACTGTAGCTAAAGAGAACCCTAAATACTAACCAAAGCTCTCTGTATTGATTAAAATATATAAACTCAAACACACAAAAAATTGAAGAACTAAAAGGTTGATGCTAAACCTCATATATCCTTTTAGCGTCCTTGTATGCCAAACTGATCTTCAGAAA